TGTCGTGTAATCACGCAACATCGATCGATAAGAGTTGGTTCCGCGTTCGCGATGTTGCAACTGTCGCAATAGAAATAATTTTAATATGATTAGGTTGTTCGTCTCAGAACTGTCAAATATTTGTCACGCGCACAGTGCACGATTCTGTGACAACTTGCAATCTTCCTTTGACAAAAAGCAATGTCATTTTTTATATTAAATGTCTTGATAATTTACATTACATATAAATTTAATTTAATTTAATTTAATTACATATTATAAACTTTAAAATAATATATACGTAATAATATTAACTTTATAGAAATTAAATTTACATCTAAAATCTAATATATACAATAAAAATATAAGTTGACATAAGATAAGTTGACATATCTAAAAAAAACTAAAAATATCAAATTCGCATATCTAACAACAATAAGATACATTCATAAGAATTTTACAATTAAAGGAAGGAAGAAAACTTATCACCTGACACATAACATACCATATAAAATATATCTTTAAACTTTGACTATTAGCTATAAACTATAAAAGAAAGAAAGAAAGTAAGAAAAAACACTATAAACTATAAACCTAAACCTAAACTAAAGTTATAACTATAAATTATAAACTATAAGCATATACGTATACTATTATTTAAAACGTACAAATTAGAAGTTAAAAATGTACAGCTTAACGCCTAAATAAACCCATAAAAGAAAAGGAAACTCAAACGTCAGGGCCCGAGCTCCTCTCTATATCTAATTCTAATTCTAATTGTAAGTCTTAGTCCTAATCTAAGTTCCGTACTTATTATACATCTAATACACAGCAGATTTATAGCCAAAATTACTAACTATATTTCTTTAAATAAAATTAAATTTATTAATAAATTTATTCTAATTCTAATATCCTAATATATACAGGGTATCTCTAAAGTCTAACCCCACCCTTGAATCTCGGAAACGGCTTTAAATATGGAAAAATGTTTCAGACAAAAGTTGTAGGATATTGAGGGGGACATATAATGAAAATATGGATTTGACCCTGAATGGCTTTTTCAAAAAGAAAAAAACAAATAATTGTTTTAAAAAATACATTGTAAATAATTACTTTTAATAAATATTACTTTTTCTTAAAAACAATTATTTTTTTTTTAATAATTGATTTTACTCAGAACTTTTGTCTGAAACATTTTTCCATATTTAAAGCCGTTTCCGAGATCCAGGGGTGGGGTCAGACTTTAGAGATACCCTGTATAATATAAAAACTAATATATAATATAAAAATATCTAATACCTTAACGCATTTCTGATATATTTAATAAATTGCAACAGTGAATCTAGAATAAGCAGTTATTTTAAGTATTCAAATGTGGAAATAGTACATGTATAAAGAAAAGTTATTTAAAGGAGTAAATCGTTGATATATTGAAGAGACTTTTTGTTAAAACAGAAAATAGTTGCTTCGGTCTAAAACGAAATTTGTAATTGTTCTGTTCCACATGGGTTTTTGACTTTTCACACGAAGCAAGGTCTATCCCACACCCTCCTTCCCCCCGTCCTTTGGCTTGAAACAAGCCGAAAGTATATGCGCTATAAAGCATATGCGTGGACGCAGTAGGTTCCGCCACCCCTACGGGGGGACTCCACTTCTGGAAGATATAACCTAACCCAAACCTATTTCTAAAACAATTAAATTTAATGTGATATAAGATTGTACAATAAACTATATATATTTACCCAACAAACTTCTACGTCTTGCCAGATGTAGACCAATCACAGTATGGAATTAGCATCTTATTAAGATATTCCTGCTAAGATCATCTTGAAATAGGGACGGACGGTGAACACTGACCATAAATTTTATGTTTGTAATATGACGATGTTAATACATATGTTTTATGTTCTTTAGCTTTTGACATTTTGTCTTTATTTCTTTTGATTTTCCAGATGCTGTATTTATTCTCTCTCTTCCTCTATTGTTATTTTTTTTTTGCAATTGCATATATCTTAACATGAAATCTAACATTTCGATCCTATGTTGATAACATTCATTGTTTTGATTAAACCAATCTTCATCAGCATGCTGGACGTGTTTTATACAAATCTCGAGGAGTTTTTTCTTCACATCTTTTAAATGCCAAAACTTCTTGTAATATGAGTTGATTGATTCAAATTGAAGAGAGATAATATTTTAAAATGAATCCGTTGGCCTTGATAACCATTCTATTTCAGGTTCATCTTCGTCTTGGTGTTTATATTC